AGCACTTGCACAAGCTCAAGTATTAAATCTATGCCTACTAGAAGGACTGGTATGCGAAAAGTACCTTGGTGGTCATTGGAAATTTCCATTATGGGAAAGAGCGTCAACGCTGATAGACGGAGGTTCCAGAGAACTACTAGCAATAATATACGGGACTTGTATAAGCGGAAATACCTTGATTTAAGGAAAAAATACAATGAAATGCTTCTTGAGGCCAAATTACAGTCTTGGAGGAAGTTTCTTTTGGATATCAATAATGAGAATATGTTGGAAAAAAATTTACACTTACGGTATTAAAGAAAATTTTTTGAGGAAGATTGAGATGTCAGGCCTTCGGCTTTCAAGCCGTAACTTTACGTCTTCCTTGGAGGAAACTATCTGCTATTCTTGATAAAGCATTTCCTCCTGATTGTGTGAGGTTTGATAATGACTTTCATACTCAGTGGTGCTCTTCTGCTCGCAGTAATTATGCGTCTCAGATTGATCCTCCTTTTTCGCTGGCCAAGGCTGATGATGTAATTCGTAATTTAAGGTTTGGCAAGGCTCCTGGCTCGGATTCTATTCCCAAATGAAACTAAAAAATACTTTCATCGGCTTTTTCCTTCAGTTTTTCATACATTATTTAATATACGTTTGAATCTTGGTGCTTTTCCACGAACTTGGAAGAACGCCCTCGTTATTGTGATACCCAAGAAACAAACTTTCAGTGTTCCACATGTGAATAATCTTAGGTGTATCTGTCTCCTTTCTTCTTTAAATGTTTTTAAAAACTAATTACTAACAAAATTATTTAGATCTACATAAAGAACATATTCTTAGTGCTGACCAATATGTTTTCATTGCTCAAAAATGTGCTGAGGATGCACTTCTGCGTCTTAGCAACATTGTACAGAGGGGCAAGACGAGAGGTATACTATTTTAATTTTTCTTGATATTGAAGGAGCTTTCGATAATGTATGGTGGCCTGCTATTCTTAATTTACTAAAAGAAATGAAAATAATGTGTTTAATGTTGTTTCTGATTTGCTGAAAGACAGGAGGATCGAGCTTTTTTTAGGTGGCACCTCAAGTGTTCGTCGACCAGAGAGGATGTCCACAAGGCTCTGTTTCCGGTCCCAAGCTTTGGATTATTATTATGAATGATCTCTTACAGAAACATTCTAATCTCTTCAGTTGTAAAGTTATTGCCTTTCAGATGATTTGTTGATTTGTATTCAAGGAAAAGAAATGCAAAAAGCTTTCCATCTCGCCCAAGATGTTTTAGATTTCATTTATCATTGGTTAATAGATTTTAAGTTAAAATTTAACCATGCAAAATCCAAGACCATGTTTATTGATAGAAAAAATATACTTATGAAATATATCAATTACTTTTAAATGACAAGAAAAATCCTTTTTACATGTTTATTGATAGAAAAAATACTACTTATGAAATATATCAATTGCTTTTAAATGACAAGTGACAACGAGAGGTTGAATGAAATTAAATATTTAGGTGCTTTGTTAGACAGCAAATTAAACTGGAAAAAGCATATTTCCTACATTTCTAATAAATGTGAGAGACTTCAGCGTGGGCTGAATCGAATTGCATGTAATAGGTTTGGTGTTAAATCAAATATTAGCGAAATTATTTATAAACAAGGCATTGTACCCTTTATTTCATATGGATGTAGAGTTTGAGGATTGTCTCTAAAAAAGAAAATTAATTCAAAACGCCTGCTTCGAGTTCAAAGACGACTTTTACTGCGAGTTATAAGGGGTTACCAAACTATTAGTCACAAAGCTGCTTTCTCTCTTGCCGGATTTCCACCACTGGATTTGTTTATTCTGACCTTTATAGATTACAAGAAAAGTCTTGCAAACTATTCCAGTTCTCATTTTGATCATTTATTGCCCTTGTCTGTTCTTCCACATCCTTCTGTAAGACAGCCAGTACAGATTCTGGATAGTATGGACACTGATGTAAATTCATTCTTGGTTTTGCTTATGTTATTTTTGAAGATGATATTGAAATTGAGTATCATCAATTTCGCATTAGAAATGAATGTACTGTATATATTTCTGAGCTTCTGTATATTAATTTTGCAAGTAAGTGGATAATAAGCCAAGGTGGACGTGGTTCTAGCTACTTAATCTGTACGGATTCACTCTCTTCCCTGAAATCCCTTAAAAATACCTCTTTATGTAATGGTATTATTGTTAATGTACAGCAGTCTCTCGTAGATCTGAAGAAGAAGGGTATTTGAGTGTTTCTTACATTTGTCCATGGTCATTCGGTTAATTATGGAAAAGAGATAGCTGACTGGCTTGCTAAGAATGCAACTAAAATTATATTAATGTTGATGTAAATATTCCAAAATCTTATTTTAAAAAAACATTCAAAGCTAAAATGATTGAGCAGTGGAACTGTGATTATATCTCTTCTGATAAGGGATATGTTACAAAAACATTCTTCCCAACTATTTTTTGAAAGACTGAAAAGTAAGGACTTGTTGCTCAATTTTAAAGTTACGCAATTTTTGTCTGGACATGGTAGGTTTAATGTTTATCTTGAACGATTTAAGCTGACATCTTCCAATTTGTGTTATTACAATCTTAGCGTTCAGTAAAGTGTTTTCCACCTGCTTTTTGACTGCCCATTGCTTGATAAAGCAAGAAATCTATTGAAATGCAGATTAAAATTAATTGGAATTCATTGGCCGCCAAAATGTTATGATTTTGTATCTTCAGCTTCGGCCTACCGAGCTTTCAACGATTTTGTTGGCTTTTATTTTAAACATCGTAAATTATTTCTTTATACATTTTTATACTATTGTATTTACTTTTTTTGTGTTTTTTCTTTGTGTTTTTTTTTCTTTTGTGTATGATTTCATTGCATTATTGAAAACTGATGTTATTACTTACAATTTTGCCTTTTTTACTTACGATTTGTAAGTCTCGTGTGATACTTTGTAGTGCACGAGGATTTCTTTTTCTTTAAATTAAAAAAACTCTTAATTCTTCATTTTTAATTTATTTCCTCTCTATATTCCAAAAGCAAGAATAACTTTTCTGGACAAAGCCATTTCGAGATTAATCTATGTCACATGGGCTAATTAAAGCTGACGACGTAGCTAATTCGGAACTTGAACTCAGAATTTTGAGAACTGAACCCTTATCTAAAACGAAATCTTCTCTTGGTGAGCCTGCATATTATATAATTGCCCTCACTTGAGCTTCCATCTCTATTGCCACTTGGACACCATTTCGCTGTGCTCTCTTCCTATTGCAACAGTATCAAATATGTAATTTTTTTGAATAGGCATGATTGAAGTGCTAAGTATATTGTGGCTACAAATGCTAATTGAAATAAAAATGAATATTTAAGCTTACGCAGTTGCTGCGACTCCCTATTCATTATTGATTCAACTTCTATGCAATTAGAATTTTTCCTCGTTAATATGTTTATGCTATTTGTGTGCTGCGCCATCAGTATTTCTGCGTTTCTTCTTACACTTTCTTCTTACAGTTCCTACATCAGTACTTCTAAATTTGTTTTATTATTTATTTTTATTATCTATTTTTCTAAATTTGTTATATATACATATATAACAAATATACAAATGCATATATATATATATATATGTAAGATATAACAAAATATGATAACTGTTTCAAAAAATAATTGGCGACCTCAAAATTAACGTTCTAAATTTGATAATCTGCCCCTAAATTCATCTCTTCTCACATGTTGCAGATTTTTCTATCTTACGTAACGTTTTAATGCCAATGCCTCTTGTCCAATCAATTAATTGTAAACCAAAACTCTGAACTGAAACTTCCCCAACTCCCACCCTTCTTCCTCTGAAGTTCTATGATACTTTCCCCTTTTCCGCATAAGCTCTCCTCCCGGCAAAATGCTTTTTATGTATGCTGCTGCCGCTTGCTTGCTTAAGATGACGTCATACTTCAAAATGCAACTTCTGTATTCAAATATAATTAGGAAACATCCTGTTTGAAAAAAGGATGATTTGATATACGTAAAAAAATAAACATTGTGATTTTTCAAGATACGTTGTGCTAAATTGCGTCATCATGCTGTTCACTCTGCCACCTTCAACCCACAACGGTATTCTCGGTCATCTACGCAGTATCGTAAGTTGCTAAAAGTTCCAGTGTTTTCATCTACGCATTTGGAATCATTACATATATATAACAAATGATGTAGTACATATATATATATGTATATGTTTGAAGTATCAGTACCTTGTTTCCCTCAAACGGAAAAGTAAGGTTTTTGGTATGCATCGGAGGGCTAAGAGAGTTCTACTTCTTTGCTCAGTGACCATTCGCAGCTCCTGTAATTTTTGTTAATTGGTAACTCACAGATGGTAAACATTTTTAAATTAACACTAGAAGTTTGTACAGCCAACGTCTGGTCTCGAATGCGTAATTTATCAAACTAAATGCATGCCAGACCGAAGGTTGAACGACGCAAGTCGGAAGTAAATTAAAACTGCATGGGAACAAACGGTATAAGAACAAAGTTAAAGATAGGCATCTAAGAATTCAAATGCATATTAGAAATGGAATTCATATTAGAAAAATGTCAGTATAAATGCACGAATATCAAATTTCTATTTATGAAAAATTTGAATTCGAAATTTTTGTTTAACATAATTATATTTTTTACGTTTTTTAAAACAATGTCGTCATTATTTCTTCTTATAAGATAAAACTTGTTTGCGTCATAAAATTTTTAGAGGTTTTTCAAAGGCTAAATCTGTAAATTACTGAGAGAAGTTTATGGATCAATTTAGAGGATCAAGGAACTCCTTACTAACAGAAAATTTCTTTGCAAGCGGCTAATACGCTGGTGGACAAGGACGTATCACGAACGGCTGTATAGTGCGTTAAAAAGTGTGTTTGGATGCTAAGTAAAATAAAAATAATGGCAGAATAACTAAGACATAACAATAAAGATAATTTATTATGCTCTGAATTGTTGAAGGCTTTGAAAAACGTTCAAGAGACAAAATGGTCATATTGTGCTGAATATGTAAAGTGAAAAAAGAGCAATTACCGGCCACAGGCATTTTGGTGTAAGAGGGCATTTCGAGACATGGTCACCATGAAGGGTGATGTAGGATTCCACAAGTCATATTATACTTTGCACAACATTATCCAACGGCTGTTGGGGTAATTTCAGATGAGGGTGTCTTTGTTTGTTAGAGGGCATTGTCGACCAGCAAGACTCCTGAAGCATCCCAAACATTTTCAATGAGATTTAGATCTGGTAAACGTGCTGGCGATATGAGGCATTGAATAGCTTCACTCCCTAGCGGACAGCGACTATTCGATGACATGTTGCGTTGTCATCTACGAAAACAAATTTATCACTGACAGCACTACGGAACACGTGAACTTGAGGCAGCAGAACATCATTAATGAGTCGTTGGCCAGTCATTGTCCCAGTTGTAACCACAAGTATGGGGCGTGAGGCCTTTGATTATAGTGCGGGCCCATATCATGGGAATGCACCTCGGATATTGGTCCTTTCCTGAGTATTTCCTGGACGACAAGCAGTACCACTTTCAAGCCAAATCGAATGGTGTCTATAATCGGGAAACTGACTGAACCTACTCTCATCTAAGAATCTTACACTAGCACTGTTCTGTTGAGTCCAATTACGATGCTCGTGATACCATTGCAAATTGACCGTACGTTTCTGTCTAGACAAAAAACGCACACATCAGGGTAAAGTATAGTCCTTGATGCAAACGTCTGTCTACAGTTTTTCGAAAGATTTGCGTGCCAGTAGCAGCAAGTAATTGATCTGTCCCCTCAATAAACTGTGATTATTTTGTCGATAATACTATTATCTTCTGCAGGTGTCTTACTGCAAACACTTCCTCCCTCGTGAGGTTTGCTACACATTCCATTTGTTTGAAATGATTTCCGAAGATCTAAAACAACATTGTGGCTGACGTCAAAGTCCCTAGTAACATCTATTATTTTTTGCCCTCTTTCAATTTTTTTTCAATAATATAACCACTCCTAAAATCATCTAAGTGATGTCCTTAAGACATATCGAAAATTTCAAATTCATAAATTGATTCTTTACCGTTAAATTTTGCTTTTAAAGAATAAAGGTCAATACGTGTCAGATCCTTTATCCCTTTTATCAGCGCATCACGTGACGAACAACTTCGGCAATAAAAAGTTTGCATACGCACAACACGTCTTACAGTTTATAATTTCCGCACTTTTGCTAATTTCCATATTTTCCTGCCTTCCATTTTGTGGTTTCTATCGCTGCTACTGTCATCCGTCCCTAGCAATTGTCCACAAGTATATAAGAATTCAAACTCTTTACGTTTGTATTCTAACGGTTACCATGTCATCAGAATTTTTGTAGTATGAAACTTTACGTTATGATTTCCATTTCTTAACATATAATTATAACTCTATAACGAATCATTCAAGATACAGCCATGTAACCTTTCGAAAATATCTTACACTTTTAGCACGTATTACTGCCAGAAATCGATGATGTCTTACGGTATACAACATATTTCGTGATATGTACTTCCTGACGTTGTTGATTGCCAGGATCAGATTTGCCTTTTAAAGTACATTGAAACCTAGCTGGTTCGACCAGCAACGGCTCTAAACAAATTTTATTATTAGAGAAAGTGGTATACTTTGGAAAGCAATATCAATTATTTATATCCTTAGACGTGATCAGAGGTGTTTGTCTATGGTAGATGGTCACCCTGAGATACTTTATTCATTGATTCAGTGTGACTAGAAGTGCTAAGTTTTAGTGTACTTTTATTTTTATTAATTTCTATATTGCTTTGATTTTTGTAACCAGTTAAATAAAATCTGGAACGGTAGTAATTTATCAAGGAAGTGCTAATAGTTGACGAATAATTATATTATTAGGTGATCAAATTCGATATATTTGCTGCCCAAGAAATACATTTCTAACGAAGTAACGATTACAGTTTCAGTTCTGAAACTAATGAAGAATTTTAAAAAGGCATCTGGAGAAATTATACTCATTATAGGTCTTCAAATCCTCTGAATAAGACTACCTACATTATTTGTCCTAAAAATTTATTTAAGTACTTCTTGATATTATTTTAGTTAATAACATTTTCTATTTTGACAAATGCGCAAAAGTTCAATTAAATGCAAATAAAAGCGGTAACGAAAAATAAATCAAATTTTCTTCCCTGTTAAGAAATCTTTTCCTTTAATGTACAATTCTTCTGCAATGCGAAGAAATAAGAGATGTGATGCAGAGGCGAAAACGGCATCTTCTGAATTTCTATTAACTTCCGAGTAATCCCTTTTAGAAGTTTTAAAGTTCTTTTTCGAATTCCTGAATATGGAGCCACTATCCATACAATGCGTCTTTTGTTCGCTGAACTTCAGGACATCTTAGATAAAAGTTATTTTATTCTATGGAAACGAAACGAAAGAAATAGGAGATTTGCTGTTCTTTTCATTTTATTGCGTTGAGGAGAAATTGCCAGTGCGTCGAATACATGTTACACAGTTTCTTTTCGTCTATTTTAGAAGAAAAAGTAGCTTTCTCTCTTCTTTACTTCTTTTTGACTGTAACCTGAAAGAGCATAAGAAAATCTATTAAAGAGTAATGCAGAACAAATTGTTTAGTTACACGGCGAAAGGTTTTTAAAGTAAGAGAAGTGTTCTTTTAATAGCATAAGACATGTTCTTCACAATTTCATTGATCTTAAGGCGCAGAATTTGTACGAATACTTCAACTCATGATTTCAGTAGAAAATTCTTCACAGGAGTATCTAAATCTCAACGTATTTTTTAGCCATCGTCCCTTTTTGTGGATTCCAGTAATTTGAGTTATTTCTAGTGATCTCTTGACGTAATAACATATAGAAATATTTTTCATCAGAAAATGAAGCTTCTGTAACTTCGTGATTTTTGTCTTTGTAACAACAATGATGACAAAAAGTCAACTTCAAAAATTTTAAACAAATTTTATCTCTGTTCTCTGAAGTGATTGAATGTAATTCATAATAGTAAAAATAGTAGATAGTACAAAGTATGTACTTTCTCTGAATCGTTAGCATTTTTGTGATAATTTCATAGTTAAGAAGATATCCATTTTATGCCCTTAATTAAAACAATAGCAAAAAAAAAAAAAAAAAAAAAAAAAAAAAAAACGTGGAGTAGGATATTTATTTTTTTACTGTAAGAATTCGCTATGTTAAAAGATTACATTTGACAAGATTTATGCCTCAGATTCGATTCGCTTCAGTGGAAATTAATTGAATTAATTACTTATAAGGAAGCATACTAACGCCTTTGAGATAAAAGTTCTTGTCAGAGACTTTCTGAGAAAAACGATACGCATATCTTATGCAGCCAACAAAGTCAGAAATAGAATACGAAAGTATTTATGAAAACTGTACCTCGCAGAGAACGTTGGAAAGAATCCGACCTTGTGATTGGATACCCTTTCTGATGGCATCATTCCCTTTCTGTTCGAGTCAGATGAGAAACTGTCTCGAGCAGATGAGGAACAAACTGCTTTTTTGTTGGTCACATCCTATGTTAAAAGAACTCCTTGGCGCCGTTTGGGTTTAAGAACAATTTCTAGTATTTGTTTACTTTTTTATTTTAAAGCCGAGTTACTATTTAAGTACCAGAAGTCTGTTTTAACGAATGAAAGCCTCTTATAAGCGTTACATGAAATTGTTTCTTATTATACCGATGTGGGATAAATTTAAAACAAATTTTGCAATGTTTTTCAAAGAAGGAGGTTATAATTACTTCATATCACGCTAATTCAGTCAATGAGAGTTATCTGATGGGTTCAACAGCAGTTTGTAGCAACGAAAACTTCAATAAATAAATTCTTGAGGAATCAGAATCGTCCATATTGAAGTTGTCAACATTCATTTACTGTATCGCATTAGTATGTCGGAGCTGTGCAAACGCAACTTAAAAAAACGAGAATTGCATTCTTCTTTATCTGGCTTTCAAAAACAACCAACTTTGATATTACGTTTCCAAAAATTGTTGTAAGTTAATTATCAGCTATGAATGATAACAATAGTATTTATACAGGTGTAGGACATTAAAAAATGACTAAATTATTAACTTTTATAACTTAATACAAAGAAGCATGTATACTCTAAATAAAACGGCTAAAATGTATAGCACTACTAGAATTTCTAGCTAAGTGTCCAATAGTCATGCTTGCTTCTTTAACTCGAATGCTGTTGCAAAATAATGCCTTAGTTTTACTTTCTACTAGCCAAAAGCCACATGCATATTTTAAAATAGAATATATTGAATTAAAATTCTGTGGGTTTTATTGAACAGTATGTAACATAAAGAAGAGACTAAAGAATGATTTTGTTCCTCGTGTGACTTTTCAAATAACGCTTAAAGGCTCTGCCGTGGAGAATTCGCTATGATGGCGCCTCTTCAGCGGGCATTTAGAAATACTATAATGGTTCAGATCGTCTTTTTCCCCCACAGACGCATTTGTCATTATTTGATATATTTCTTGAATAGAAATATGTCAGAAATGAGTCATGATAAATTAGATACTATTTTAAGTAGAAATTAGTGCTTTTTCTCTCTTTAGTGATCGTTGGCTGAAATGTATTATTATTACTACTTAGTTTTAAGGATAGTAGTTAACTACTTAGTTTCAAAGATAGTATTTTAAGTAGTGTTACTATTTTCCTTTAAATTAGAATTGTTTAATCTGCTTCTATTAAATATCATTTAAAAAGGACACTTTACACAGTAGTTTCGTAACGTGAAATGTTCTTACATTCAGAGATTATAAAATGAAATATTATAAAACATTTAATCTTAATATTAGCACGTTTAAAATTACATAAACGTAATTTTATTTGAAGTACTGACGTTTCACAGCAGGGATAAGAGGAAAGCGAATCTAATATTATAAACTACTAAAATAAGTACACGAAACACGATTTTTTTTCGATACAACTAGATTAAGACTGTTAACTATTAGCAATACTAAGATCATCATTAAGTTCAAAACTATCCTTGCAAATCCAATTTTGAACCTGGTTGACACAAGGAGCTTTGTTGATTACGTATTAATTAAATCCATGGCAGTTTTTAATGCCCGAGTTGCTTTCTTCGCGGATGAGTGCTCGACGAAGTGACTTCAGTAGAAACATTTTCCATTTCCGTTTGCCCTCGGAGTGTGTCACTATTTCAGTTAACGTCCCACTCACTTTCCAATAAGGAAGAAAGCCGGCGGCTACGTAAGCGAAGACTCGAAAATGATTGGCGGAAAATTAAAGACCCAAGAGTCTCTCTGAGAAGCATCCAGCTCTGCGATTTTCCATTTTACCTGATTTTCATTTCCTATACCTGTCATTCAAAATAAGAAGTGAGCTAGTATGGCAGTACTACTTAGTTTTAAGGATCTTACGTTATTTATTTTTATTCCAAGGAACAGATTACCAATACTGGATTTAGAAGAACATTTTGGGAATAAGTATAAAACAACAACTGTCAAGTCTTGTTTGAAGAGCATGTTTCACTTCCAGTTACCTGAGATTAACAGGAAATGAACTTCAGGACTCATTTGAAGTCATAGTGAACAAATTCAAATCTTAACTTACTAACGTAAGTTTATCAAACTATACATACTGTCAGGGGTACAGCTAGATTTTCTGCCCCTTGGTGCAGTCTCTACTGCTTCAGAATTCTACCATATCATACGGCAGCACTGATTGCACGGTTCAGGTGCGGGCGAGATGTTACAGATAATGTAAATAACTCTGATAATATTTTTACATTTATATATGTGGTAATGAAAATTTTCATTCTTAAGTTACAATACAATTTTGTATGTTCAGAAAAATCATTAGTAATTAAAAAAGAAAATAAAAATATTATTTAAATAGTAAATAAGGAAGATTATTTTTTACGCGAATATAACTAAACGATGCAAAAGAAAAGCATAACCAATCCCATACAGATAGACGAGAAAGTATTTATCATGGCGGTGCATAATTAAAAGAAACATTCTCGCTGATAATTACTAGTTTAAAGATTTTTATATAAAAATAGGAATAATTAATTATAATCAATAAAGCAAATTCTTCAGGAAGATTTCAGAATTTGAGAAATTAACCTTCCAACTTCATCCTATGCGATTTACATCCATAAATTTAACAAAATTTGGCGCCTTCCACAAGAATTGGTTTTACCTGATTGATTTAATTGCGCAGCACCATTTTTCTCACTCTAGACACAATGAAGAAATCTTGCATTCAGTATAGTTTTTTTAAATACTACCCAGTCCAACAGGTAACGGAGAGTTCTCCTTTTATTGGCTTTTAAACAAAAAATTGAGGAAATTTTTGTAATCTTTAGTTATTTTATTCATTTAATATATTTTTCGAAAATAATTCTGTTATTATTTTTCTATAGCTTAGTAATAATCTAGTATGCTAATTAGTGCTTCCGTTTATGGTTTTTATATTTTGGACTCATTTATGCTAACATTATTATGAGCATTAAAACATTCTACCTTTTTAAAACTGATTGAAAGTAAAGGGATACATTTAAAGATAGCATGTTATAATATATATAGAGAGAATAGTATGTTTTTTCAAAATACAGGACTTTTAAAAAAGTGATTTTACTATCTTACATATTAATCTTAGACATGCATTTGTTTTCCCTAAATTAGGTAAAACTTTGCCGATAGAGATTTTGTACACACAAAACAAACCTTTTTATATAAATTTCCCGAATAAAAAAAAAAAAAAAAAAAGAGAACAATCTTATAAAATGTTTCGTGTACTGTTATAATTTAAATATTACAAAAAGTTCCATATATTAATAATTAAAATTCTTAAAGATATAAGGAACTAACTTAGTTGATTCGGATCTCATTACAAATACATACTTTCGTGAAATTTAGGGAAATACTTCAAAATACAAGAGGTTCGAAGTTTTGAAGATTAATGATCTTGAATCGCGTAACACAACAGTTTTTATTAACCTTGAAAGCGGTCCAAGAAAGCTGGGAATTACAAATATTCAGTGAGTTGTGCATGAAAATATGCCGAACATTTTATATTTAACTTCAGAAAGTATAAAGAATATTTTGACAAATAGACTTTTTGCTCAATGGGAATAACTTCAGCTTTTAAACTCTTTCTTCATCTATCCAATGCAGAGATGTAAAACAGAAGATACAAGTATTTCGTTTTCAAGCGACATGAGTGAGTTTTACAAAGAGGAAGTTTTTTTTTTCACGCTTCATTCTAATCTTTCATATAGTTTGAAATTAGCGTTTTTTGTGTAATAAAAATCTTGGTTTCTTTATATTCACCCTTGCATTACTTAATAGCCGGTTTTGTAACTAGATCTTGAAAGTCTGGTTCTCCGATATTAATGGACAGGCAAGGACTGGAATAACCTTGAGCACTCTCTCCTGTCTGTGTCTGGAAATTTCCCTCCCCTCCACATTTTCTCCTAATCGGCGGGAAGGTACCCTTTCCCTAGCAACCGTGCTCATCTTGTGGTCATTCTTTTCTGATGCTGGCTGGACATTTAATCGATTTGTTTACGTGTTAGCATGCGAGACAAATGATCCATTTGGAGGAAAACTGAAGGATAATATATATATATATATTACTTCCCTATTATAAGGAGACAGAGAGAAAATGTTTACGTTAAAATCCGTAAAAGAGGATATTCCTGAAGTATAGCATACCACCACATTATAAAGTACACAGGGCAGAGAGGAAATCGATAAAAAATATGCTTATGTTCGAAATACTTTAAAGCAAATTTAACAAAATGCATAATGATTATCATGCTGCATAAAATTTGCTTCTGTCATTCCTTTACCACCTTTAAAGTCTTCTCAAAATCAGACTATTATTAAATTCGAACATACGTCATGCATGCTAGGCAAAATTTAAAATTTCAGAAAACGTTTTTAGAATTTATTTAATACCTCAAATGGATATTGTTTTATGCTTCTAAAATCCCATCTGTTACAAGTAAACATCAGAGATATGACAGCCGTGCTGTTGCCAATGGACGATGCATAAGATGTTTCCTTTTTCTTAAATTGTTGCTGTTAGTAGGAAAAATTGAGTCATTTAAAAACTCATTTTATCTGTGATTTAACGTTACTTTGCAACAAGTATTATTTTATGCTATTAATGTAATAAATAGAATACGTATCTAATACTGTATAATCTCCCGACTTCAAAATTTCAAACTTTATTTTGCAAAGAAATATCGCATTATTTCGTTCGTGCTCTTATAATGTATGTAGTTAAAACACTCACCTGAAAAACTGAATAACTTGTGGTACGAGTATCGACGCAAACACGATTGTTTTTTAATGCTTTTTTCGGCGAAAAGCTAATATACTCTACAATGGAGTTCGAACTAAAATGGGGGTAAATGATAACGTGTCACCCACTTTGATCATCTGGGCTTAATACCTCTTCCCAGTCGCCGTTTAAGCGGGAAAGAAATTATCGGATTCCCCTTGACAAACTCTTGTGATATAAACGGTTGTCCTTATATGTGGTACAATTGGTTTCCCTTACGTGTTCCTGTGGTATAATGAACAAATCCAACTAGCAAATAGATCCATGATTTGAATCACGGTTAGATAGCACTATATTTTTCTCAATTTCTGCGCAGCAAAGATCTAGAGTCTGCATACTGCATTATGTATATTCTGCGTACTGCATTAAGCCTGCATTAAAAACAAAATGAAGTAGCAATGATAAAATTAATATTAATGCATACATAGCATTCCTTTCTCGAACACACATTTTTAATATTTTCATATTTTCTCTTTACACTAGTTGCCGTTCAAAAAAGTATGCATTAATGAACACAACAGTTTTTAAACTTGATATTTGTTTTTAGACAAGTTTTCATTTCACCCAAAAATAAAGATTTAGCTTTACAAGCAGGCAAGTGTAAACATTATTTTTATTCAAAACATAAAATAAAATAATTACATCAACATTTTATACATGTTTTTAACTAAACAAAATTAACCGTACTTCTTCTTTAAGTCATGAAACTACAGCCTGAAATTTTCAGATCACAAGCTGATCCATTTATTTCATCAATAGGGTAATGAAATGTGAGCCACGTTGTCGATTTAATAGTTTTCCTTCCTACATCGCAGTCCTTTCTACGGATACCTATTTTCTTTCCCTACCATCCTAGATATTATTTTAATTAACCAATTTCCTTAAGATTTTGATCTATACTATCACTTCTCATCTTCGTTAGATATCAGCAAATGAGTTTAAGGTGCATATGAGTTCAGATTATTCAAATCTGGATGCTTACAGTAGCATTTTTTTCTTACAAACTTCTGTTATGTTAGTTAGCCTGCTTTAGCCATTTTACTAGTCGAATATACACCGCGAATTTAGAATTTTAGCAAAAGCTTTGTTAGTAGATTTATATTGCAATCTCCTGCTCCCAACTGCTTTAATATATGTGAATTCGGCTTACGTTTATCTAATACCTGCAAGTGGCGGAATTTTGATTTCTACGCACAAGTTTTATAATATGTTAAATCCAAGTGTTTAATAAAGGAGCTTATTTAAAACCATGTTAAGATACTGCCGTAGTAGTTTCACAGACGGAGTAATAACTGGCTTGCTAATATTAGTAGATTTTAAGATCCTTAAGTTAGATTACACAGAATAGAGCCCTACATTGATAAGGAAATTATGCTGCATTGTATGTAAATTAATATCAACAGAAAACATTGCTCCATTTGATTTCAAATAATGCCCATCCCGCGTACTTACTACTGTTTCAAATGTACCCTTACAAAACGTTTTAACTCCAAAAATAATTCAAAAAAGTGCGTACAGTTTAAAAGATTCAAAGTTACAAAACATTAAAATAAAATGAAATCTGCTCAAAAGAATTGACCAGTGAGCTTTATTATAAGAGCGATTATAGGAAAACGTTTCGCATAGCTCTCAGATAAATAACTTTATCATAAAAAATAGCTAAAAGAACATCAAAAACGAGCTAAGATGCCAGGTAATGTAGAAATGTAGAGAGAGCTTCATTAATGTTTAGTTCCTTATTAAGAAATTTGTTAGAATCAATTAAAACATTTCATAGAAATAAAAAAAATCTTATTTAACCTTTCCGTTTAGATCTTAGTTTAATTCTTGAAAGGAAGTTTTATCCAAAAGTTAAATTTATTAACTCCTAGATCATTGGTAATTATACAGTCAAAAACGTTATTTTCCAGAGAACAATAAAAGCGAAATATAACATAGTTTAGGGCTCAGTAAAATGAGTCGAGGTGTAAAAATTTTGTTATAAAACTAAAAATAAAACAAAAATAAAGTTATTCCTACTATTCGCACTATTTTCGTTTACAGCATTTTTTAAAATTAAATTAGTGAGTAATATTTTTCATAACTTGGATGTCAAATGAAATGTTTACTATCGAATTAGAACTAACTACGACGGAGAAACACCCTGAATATAGACGTGACATTCAGGAGTATTTTCAAACCGTAGAATTGAAAGCCTCTTCAAGGTATCTGTTGTCGTCAATTTGCGATAACATGAATCTGAATTAAACTGACAATGTTTATTAATCGAGGCATAAGGTTTTTTTTATTTATGTGAAATATGTAACTCAGTACAGCAAATTTAACCATTCAGAATATATATACATTTCATTAAAGTATTTTGCATTAAATATTATTTTACACCAAGAATGCCATAAACAGTGTAGGTTTCTAATACTTTACAGTCGGCTTTCTTCAAAATTTCTAGCTCTACATTTAGTCGGTTGGTAGATATTCTGTCTTTGGCCTGTAGAAAAAAAAAATTGATTTAAACTAGAATTTTACAGTGTACAGATTCTGCATTCATTTCTATCTTAAATATTTTTCAAACGCGGATCACCAGTGGTCAAGCGGTCAAGTCGTTGAACACTGGTAATGCGGCCGGGGTCCTAATCCCATCGAACGAGCTGGCTGCATGGTCTCGTTTTCGTAGTTTTTTTCTATGTGTAACGTGTTTCCCTCGTATGCTTTGCCGTAATCAAATACACCGCCATCACCACCACCTTTTTAAATAGTAATATATAATTAAGGCAAAACTAAAAAGTAAGAACTGGTTATTTTAAGTAAAATTTTGAATGCATCACGCTCAAGTTCATATTCAGAAAAAAATGTTCACGTCAAATCACGAAGTAGAAATAACGAAGAAATGGATATCGGGTTTCGTAGCATGTAGCTAGCATGAATCTACGGATGAGACCTTGGTTTCGTGTCTAAAGACTAAATATAGGCTTTAAAGAAAAGTAAAATTCAATTTGAAGTATTGTTATAATTTTTAACCCTTTGATGTTGATAATTGCCTCGAAAATTTAAGCCAGTTATAGCCCATTGGTAGCTCAACGGCAACTGAGGTCTTTCCTGCTGCCTGCAGTAAAATTAATAAAAATTATTATTGCTATTGGTTACAGAATTCAAGATATGTGTTTATTTTCACTTTTATTTCCATATTCAGAACTGAGAGCATTGAGAATTGATTTTCGTTAATTACTTGCTTGACATGTTGACATGAGCACCTACAATATTCTTACAAATATGCTTCAAATGTATGAATATAAATAATTAATAGATAAATGTATTCAAAATAGCATTTACCTTTCCTTATACGTGGAATCTAACATTTACAAAACCACTGGCATAACTAGACTTTCCCCGCTGGGGTGGTCTCCGCTTTCTCTCAATAACAGAAAGGGCTACAATATATAAAGGAAAATAAACTGAAAATATGCGCTTATATTTTTGAAAGAAAACTTTAAATCCGGCATTCTAAAATGCAATTTTACTTATTTCATGATAGAAAATCATCGATTACATTGTAAAAGTATATACCATTGCTTCTATTCTTGCTCGTTATTTGTAGGTTTTAAGTACTTCGCAAATTATTTATTTTTCAGAAAAACTCTTCTTCAGCTAGAAATATTTTAAGCAATTGTGAGAAAATTCGCAGCAGTAATCATATTATAGTACTATTTGGAAATGTGATATGGTGACCTTAGTAAGAAATTCTGCCCTATTAATGTCAATGCGATCATACACTTGGAAACTGCAGTTTTTCATTCTGTATTTTGATAGAATTAAGCAAACTCAACAAAAACATGGAATTGTTGAAAATCTTACTGTGAGTTGTTCTTTGAATATTCTGTCTACTAAATATAAAAATCTTTTCTTTTTACAATTCAGTTCTGTATGACAATTCATGGTTCTTTACACATATCAGTTTTTTCTTTCGACTCTGAAAATCCATACCTTTAGGCCTTATAAAATAGTATTTCACGTGAATAATAACGAATCCAATAAAATACCACATGAAGCAGACCGCCCCCTCTGCCTCCGTAGTTACGCCACTGACGCAAACCTACCACTTAACAAGCTCATTTATTCCCTTTTAATGAAAACAAATTGAAGAAAGAAGTGAACAAACGGGTTATTAGATTTCTTCCCTGTATTTTCTATTAACAAATCTCTTTCTTAGTCTCAACTTCAACGTTTATTTTACCTTCTTAAAGAAAGTATGCGTAAGATTTGCATCTTCTTAATATGCTTTAGTTGAAATGAGGAGTAAACAGAAGAACTGAATATTAGATTTATTAATGTTCTTTAGGTTTATTCATGCTTTTTAGGTTTATCAATTCAGATTTTAGGTTAATTAATATAAATTAAGCCTAAATCTCACAAAATAAGTAAACAAGTGAAGAATAAGTAGTGAAAATTTCATACCAGCAATAGCCAAACGCCGCCTCTGGATCCACCAGTGGTTTACTAACGTATCATCTACAGCTCGAAGAAGGCGTTAGTAGAACCCTTTTTTGTCTTTAAGATCTGCGTCAGAGTTGATGCAACCGATGGAGCAGCGCCGGGCGTTAAAATCTAGGGACGGTGAAATTTCTGTAATTTAGGGAAGCACCGAGCAGCAAAATTTAGGGATGAAAATAATTTATAGGATTTAGCGAAGCATTGGGCTGCCGAAATTGGGACCCGCAAAGCTTCAATCGGGTAGCAAAATGCCTATCCTGCTTGCGTTTTAATATCAAAATAAAATACTTTTAATCTATGACGGGGCTAAAGAGAGAGTTTATTAGATTAATATTAAGTTTAATATTCATAGATAGTATGAACGCATAGGAATTTAAAGCGAAACATTTCATTTGATCGGTCGTAACTGGGTTTAAGTGCTCAGTTCATGGGAAGCAACTAGATGTGGTGTTTGAAAGAAATTCGCCCATGTAAATTTGTAAAAATAAAAGGAAAAATGCCTTTTTTACTACGATATCATCCTCAAAATAAGTAATTATTTTTAGAAGTCACTAAATAACACTGATATTTAATTCATACCTGCCTGTGATAAACATACTGCAGAGGTATAACTCTCCAATTTTAAAAGAATAGCTCTACGTAAAATACTGTTAGTTTAACAAACTTATAAGATTAATTTAATAGCAAATTTGTAATCTAAAATCGCTTTTATAGTAATTTCATTCATAACTGATGAAATTAATGATAACTTCATTAATTAATGAAGTCTTTTCTTAATTCTGGTTAAAGAAACATCTTCTACGAAAATGGAATGAACAGAAATAATTGTAAATATAAGAATTAATAAACTTGAAAGGCTTTGCATAAAAATACATATACATCCTATTTTACACACTTGAGTTTGGAAAACATGTTCCAGAAAATAAAACACGGCGAACGAAAGATTTTAGTACATAGTTGAATTTAATAGCTATGTATTCATTTTTAATTTACCAGGTGTGCCTTATTATACGCAGAAATGTGTAAAATCGAAGCATTTTCTAATTCTTGTAAACAAAAAATATTAATGCTAATCATATAGCCTTGACAACGTTCCAGCGGCTTCGAATCATTGTACAGTTCTCATAGATTAGTAGAGTAGCTAATTCGCGCAACCTTGAAAACCCATCAATGGAGATTTCAGTGATTCACATCCAAGGCAAAATGTAACGATTTCTATGAAACAATAATTGCGTGTAATTTCATAATTGAGGCGTTGTCTGTGTGTCTGATAATCAACTTAGTAATATGAAAAAAATAATTTTATAAAGTAGTAATTAAAGCACAGTGAAACATCTCTAGGATAAATATACACAGTTCTAGACCTTTATGTTCTGCGCAGCCTTAAAGAAATGAATGCGGCTAAGTCCAGTATGGTTGTTTATTTGTATAGAAATATAGGTTGTTGTGGACATAATCGCATACTTATTTATTTCCTATGCTAATATTATGATTTACTCGAGCTATATATGCTTTATATATAACAATAAGTTGTATATAAAGCATATATAAAGCTGAGATCCACAGAGAAAAGATTATGCTGTCAGTTTGGAGGGATTATAAAGGAATTCTACAGTTTGAACGTTTACCAAGAAACCGAAGGGTTAATTCAAACGTCTGCGTTCAACAGCTCACGAATAAGTGATGAAGTTCAAGAAAAGCGATCAGAATTGCCAAACTGTAAGAGTGTTGTTTTCCAACATGATAATGCAAAGTCACACACAGTTTAGTCATTCGCCAATACTTAATGGAGCTAGGCTGGGATGTGTTGTCACAACTACCATATAACCTGACTTTGCACCTTCAGATTCCATTTATTTCATTCCATGCAGACCTCCTTGAATGGTAAAGTTTTAATCACACGTAAAATCTCCTTTAATCTAGTTTTTGTTGACAAAATCAGAAGTATTATGAATATGGAATTATGACACTGCTTGAAAGATGGTAAAGGTCATCGACCAAAAACGGATAATATCTAATTCAATAAGGTTATATTTTTAAGTAAACATTTTGAATTTTCCATTTTATGTAAAACTGCAATAATCTACCAAAATAGCCCACCTTGCCAGCCCAATAACTGCGATAATTTTCACAGAATTTATGGTTTTGTCCTTCATTTAATTTGTGTGACCAGTGAGAAACTGTACATCTACGGAGTATCATTGGAATCAGCATGGAAAATCTGATATTCTGCAAGATATTAGTTGCATAATTACATAAATATCTATGCCGATGTACCGATACGCTGTCTTTGAACAAAATGAAGTCCAAATACTTCATTTTCAAATGCGGCAATAACCTCTTCGGTGGCATATCGAGGTAGGTGAAACTAAATCTTTGTAGGGTTATAGAAATACTAGAACGTATTGATCCGCTGCAGACTGCATGGTAGAGAACATAAGATTATCCTGTAAGTATCACTTGCTGTTAAGGACTAATAAAAGGAGGGATAAGGATATCTGCTTTAAATTAGCATTTAGGGTTTTCCGGCTTCTTTACAATTGAGAATTCAATTGAACAAGATACATATAACTTATGTATAACTAAGTATATAACTATGTATATGATACATATAACTTAATATTATGTATTTTAGTGTGTAAGATTCTCACTAGTGTATTTCTCAGTTACTGTAGAAAGTGACGAATCTTAAGAACTAGTTAGTGAATAATCGCTTAAGTTCGTGTAACAAGAAACAACAAGATGAAAGGGTAACTAATCCTTTATTATTCCAATAAGATTTAAAAAAACTCCGTCTTGGAGTGTACAATAAAAGCCGACACTTGGGCTTGAACTTAAGAGACTAAGAAATAAACTAAAACTAAGATTAACTAAAGAGATATAGCCGAAGCTATCAAGATTCTAATCGAGTTGGTCCCTTAACTCTATTTGACTACGAAGCTTATCAAGGGCCTGAGTACGGTCGATCGTAATAAAAGCTTTGAGAGAGAGTAGCCAAAAGGCAGACGCGCGCAAATCAGAAACTGATTCTCTCTAATTTAGCAAGTAGACTTCGCGGTTTAAATACCGCTCCTCCTCATTAAGTATTCAGAGTGATTCCAAAACTACGTTCTGGCCGGAAGTAGTAAGTTGAAGTTAAGAATTTGACAGGAAAGGAACTTTAACTTAAAATTTAACTGTTAATAAAATTAACATAATCCTTACAAGTGTATAATAATATTAGACGTTTTGTATTTATTATGCAAGATGTATAGTATTGGAGATGTGCAATTTATTGATACACTGCAAGCTGAAAAAGTGTGTTTAAGCAATAATAAAATAAAACTTTGTTATTAATAATATTGCATAACTGTACGTAATAACAGTATATTTCATTAAGGTAATTACCCTATATATGATATAGTAACTTGATAATTGTAATGGTTATTATGTAGAGTCATTAGGTTTATTTGAACCTGAAGATGTGAAATATGTGCAATGCCCTCACCGGGACTCGGACCTGGACCTCTCGAATACTCGTTGAGAATACCTTTACATCACGATGTCATTCTGGAAGGAGAGAGAAAATATCTTACAATTATACGTTACTTTCTATCAATTAATATGTGCAATTATTGATATGTTGTAAATGTGTATTCAGCATAATCAAAACAAAACAGTTCTATGTATATAGCAAGTATAGATATGCTTTCCCGAGCTGGGACAAATTGCTACATGATCCATATATCAGACGAGGCTTATCTCTGGCTGCGTCCTGTATGTCTTATGTATGATCATTCATTTCCATCTACAAATAATCAGCATCAACCTGCAAACAAATCACCTGAGTTCACTTTTCAGAAAACTCTAATTAAACTCTTTCTCCCAGTTTGCTTCTGCTACCACATTTTAATAAATAAACGATTAATATAATTTAAAAAGTTTACGTATTTAATATACG